CCATCCCCACCGTCAAACATGGAGGTGGAAACATACTTTGGGGGTGTTTTTCTGCTAAGGGGACGGGACAACTTCACCGCATCAAAGGGACGATGAACGGGGCCATGTACCGTCAAATCTTGGGTGAAAACCTCCTTCCCTCAGCCAGGGCATTGAAAATGGGTCGTGGATGGGTATTCCAGCATGACAATTACCCAAAACACACGGCCAAGGCAACAAAGGAGTGGCTCAAGAAGAAGCACATTAAGGTCCTGGAGTGGTCTAGCAAGTCTCCAGACCTTAATTCCATAGAAAATCTGTGGAGGGAGCTGATGGTTCGAGTTGCCAAACGTCAGCCTCGAAACCTTAATGACTTGGAGAAGATCTGCAAAGAGGAGTGGGACAAAATCCATCCTGAGATGTAGGCAAACCTGGTGGCCAACTACAAGAAACGTCTGACCTCTGTGATTACCAACAAGGGTTTTGCCACCAAGTACTAAGTCATGTTTTGCAGAGGGGTCAAATACTTATTTCCCTCATTAAAATGCAAATCAATTTATAAAAAAATTTACATGCTTTTTTCTGGATTTATTTGTTGTTATTCTGTCTCTCACTGTTCAAATAAACCTACCATTAAAATGATAGACTGATCATTTCTTTGTCAGTGGGCAAACGTAAAAAATCAGCAGGGGATCAAATACTTTTTTCCCTCACTGTAAGTGGCGGTGACGGTACATTGATGCTTGTGCCAGGCTAGGTGCACCTTGAGGCCATGTGAAGTGTCGAAGACTCACCGGCAGGAAACTAAGCACGTTTCTGGTAATAAATGGGTGCCAAAAATAATCTCCCCCGTGTAGCCTTAACAGACTGTTGGGGCAAGCGCTGTTAGCGAGCACCTATGAAGGCCGGCACGGCACACGAGGGGGTAGATGGTCAGCACCACGCCCGTCCACATTTGTCTCCCCAGTGGCGATGTTTACATACCGCACCAGGTAATAATTTGAGGCTGAGTCAACCTAAGGGAGGCCCAGGACCGGTTGAGATATAATCGTCACTGGTACATACACGCACGGACACACATGTACGGGGAGCGATCCACCTACAGAGACACACATAAACCGACCATGGCACGGGCGCTTCCTGTTCAACGAGGGGGGGGGGGGGGAATAACGACCGCCTGCGTGAGGTCACGAGGTGCCGCACAGCGCTCCTTTATTCACCGGCCGAGGTGGATGATGACGAGGCCGTGACGGACGCCGGTGCACTCGGAGGGGGAGGAGGAGGAGGAGGGCTGCGCTTGGGGCGAGTTGGGCGCGGGGCTTCCCCGCACCCAACCGCTCCCCACGCGTCCCTCCGACACTCGGTGCAGAGAGACAGAACCGGGATGGCCCGAGGGGAGAGAGGGGGCGGGGGGGGGCGAGCCGCTGCCAGTCGGCCCCAGGGCTAGCAGCCCCTACGCACTTCAGGGGGAAAGTCACCGAGGACGAGATGGAGACGTGGGGGGGGGGGGGGGTGGCGGCAGAGGGCTGCCCCCCCCCCCTCCGCCAGCGGAGATTTGATGCCCACGGCACATGAGGCATTGGCATTGGCGGGGGGGGGGCGGGGGGGGGGGGGTGTTACCGCGGGCCGGTGCTCGGGTCACGCCGGTTCACCGGTTCCCGTCGTCACCCTGATCGCGTCAACTTTGCATGGAGCGTGGCTAACGCTTACACGTTGGAGGAGACGGGAGCACGTGGAGTCCACACTGTGCTGTCCTGAATTCCCATGGCGAGCCGAGCTACGGCTCCTCCTGGAGTTTCGGGACCTTTGTGTGATCAACAAGGGACCTTTCTTTCCGGTATCAAAGTAGAAGGTTAGGTTTTTAACCTTGCTGGCAATACAACGGGAGGTGTTAAGATGTTCAAACACCAAACAGAAACCTTTAGCAAGGAAACATGTCTGCATTGACCACACACGGTGCTTGTGGTGAACATTCGAAACAAAAGCATGCTCTTGGAATGTATGTGTGGTGAGCGACTTCCCAGGAATGTCGTGTAGAGAGCTTCTTATTTATGCTCACGCTACGGCACAACACTGGGCGTTATGCAGAACGTGTCTACATCGCTACACAGAGCTGACCCTTCTACGCTACCCCATTGTCGGCGTCTAACTACACGGCTGTCTGACTAGCGTAGCGACGACGATGATGGGAGCCGCGCAGAGGATCGGCCACGTGGCCGGACGACGAAGAGAGATGACGGCGAGCGGCGACGTAGCCAGGACCCAGGGCCCGCAACAGCCCCGAACCTCTGGTTCCGTCCCCCTTATATACCTCCTGGCGTGGCCAAGCCCCCCAGAGCTTCCAGACTGACTCCGCCTTTACCCCAGATACGCCCCCATTCTAGTCACTACATAACCCGCGATTACCCCTCCAGGCCAACAGGTAGCACCATGTCATTACATATGCATTGTCTTTAAAACTCATTGGTCTACACCAGACAGCCTTCTTGCCTGAACAACTCTGTAACTCATCTTCTTGGTTCTTTCGGTAAAGTCACGTAGAATGGAAACAAAGTAATAAAAAAACATAATAAAATAAAATTCTCACGACGTTTCGGCCACAACACATCAGGTGAAGAAACGGGTCTGTCCAGAGGACAGCGCTTTTATTTATTATTTTGTTTCCATTCTACGTGACTTTACCGAAAGAACCAAGATGAATCCCTGCAGTCACGAAAGCTTTAAATCGAAACTCTGTAACAACCTGTTAATAACGTTTCACCTGGACTCCCTCACCCTGACTGAAAATCGAAATGTTAATATGATCACCCACATGGACCAGTACTGTGCCATTCAAATTCACGTAAATCACTTCACTAAGGCATACCTTTGATTTAAAGCTTTGGTGACTGCAGGGATTCATATTCTTGGTTTTTTTCGGTAAAGTATTTTGTTATTTTATTGTTTCCCTTCTACGTGACTTTACCGAAATAACCAAGAATATAAGGCATATCTGCAGTTGTTAACGAACCAGTTAACAACTGCAGATATCAATAGTGTAAAATAACTCTCTTCCCTAAACCATCTGATAATATGGCAAAGTATGTAATGGTTATTAACCTGATTCATGGCTCATCTTTGCGCACCTGCATTGTACAAAATATCGTATACACCTCCTATGTCCGTGTCTCTTTCTCCATCTCCAATATATTTGAAAACGTTATACCCCCTCCCTATGTATGACTTTCATCTCTACGCTTCCGTTCCATCACTCATCAGCTCCCCCGGGGCCCAGCAGACTCTGCAGCCCGGATCGTCTTCTCTCCAGCTCTCTAGAAATGTCTTTTTTTCAGGCGAGGTCGGGCTCCCACGTGGCGTGAAGGCCGCAGCTCCTTGCCCAGTGGCAGCAGCGTCCTTCACGAGCCTCCTCCACAGAGGCCGATCTTGATACCGCTGGTACCAGTCATCGGCAAGTCCACTCAGCTCCAAGTCCTCCTGTGCCACATCACTCCATCTCTTCTCTAGCCCGTACCGCGCCCGTTTAGCCCCCACTATCCGGCCGAACAAAAGCTGTTTCGGCATGCGGTGGCTGGGCATGCGGGCTACATGACCCAGCCAATGCAGCCTTGCCTACCGGAGGAGCTCACCAATGGAACTTTGTAAAGATATTTCAAGAATTTGTGAGCTCACAATCCAGCCTGGTTAAACCCAGGATGGATCGTAGGCAGGCCAGCCTAAATGTTTCTAACCGGCAAAGATGTTCCATTGGGGGGGTCCACGTTTCACGAACGGCATTATCTTTTCACTGGCTTGCGTAACGCTGTGTGGAAGCTACCTGGTCTGTCACTCCACATGAAGCTTCGGGTCATGACCGTGGCCGAGAAGACCTGAAGCTTCGTGTGGAGCGACAGACCAGGTAGCTTCCACACAGCGTTACGCAGCCGGTGAAAAGATATTGCCGTTCGACTGATTCAGAGTGAGACCTCTGCTGTAAAACCGGAGCACACTGCCCAGGTATGGGAAACTCTCCACTCTCTCCACAACTGCCCCACCACCAATTGGCAGTTGTGGGGGTCAAGTGTCTGATGGCACAAAATACCCAGGCAGGCGCTTCGTTTTTGGCGGTGCTGATGCTATTATTGCTCTTCTCGTTATTCTGTTTTGTCCGTATTTGTGCGTCACAGACGGGCTGGCATTTCCCGTGAAGCCGAGTTTGACTTTCCTTCGGTTGTAGAAATAAAAGTTTATTGAATAAATTATGATTTCCGTATCCTTATGCCCAACCCAAGCACAACCCCTCCCCTCGACCCATCGCTCCACCTTCACCCGGCACGCACCATCATCACGAACCAAGGGGGTTTCCTTTCGTTTATAGAAGGGCGCGATTACTGAGACAGCCAGAGAGGTGTAGCAGAGAGAGAGAGAGAGCGAGGGCGAGATACACGCAGTAGAGATATACACAGAGATACATACACACAGAGACACACACACACAGAGACATACACACAGTGAGATATACACAGAGAGATATACACACAGAGACACAGTGAGATATACAGAGTTATACACAGAGATACATACACACAGAGACACACACACAGAGATATACACACAGTGAGATATACACAGAGAGATATACACACAGAGACACACACAGAGACATACACACAGTGAGATATACACATAGATACATACACACAGAGACACACAGTGAGATATACAGAGTTATACACAGAGATACATACACACAGAGACACACACACAGAGACATACACACAGTGAGATATACACAGAGAGAGATATACACACAGAGACACACACAGTGAGATATACAGGGAGAGTTATACACAGATACATACACACAGAGACACACACAGAGACATACACACAGTGAGATATACACAGAGATACATACACACAGAGACATACACACAGTGAGTTATACACAGAGAGATATACAGAGATATTTACACACAGAGAGTTATACACAGAGACACACACACACAGAGACACACACAGCAGACACACACAGAGACACACACACAGAGACACACACACAGAGAGACACACACACAGACACACACAGAGACACACACACACAGACACACACACACAGACACGCACACGCGCGCACGGCTATACTCGCTCGCGACCGCAGGGATTTCGCCACTCGACGGCCTCAGCCGCGATGGAACCTTCACGGCCACAGCTCGGAGGCTAAGGGGGAGGAGGCCACGCACCGCGAGGCGGCGACAGCGAGCAGGCAAAGGCAAAGGTAAAGGCGCCGGATGGGGGGCGCTCTCTTCTCGCGCGCGGCGGCCGTGCGCGACATTTGTCCACTGCTGGATGGCGACGTCGATGGGAGGCATCGCGACCCCTCTCATGGTGCAGCAGCGGCAGCGGGCATCGAACCGCGCGGTCGTTCCGTGGACGTCTCTGTGTGTCTGTGTGTGACTGTCGTACTAACACACACGGCGTGCGTACTAACACACACACACGGCACGTACTAACACACACACGGCGTGCACTAACACACACACGGCACGTGCTAACACACACGGCACGTGCTAACACACACACGGCGCGCACTAACACACACACGGCACGTACTAACACACACACGGCGCGTGTACTAACACACACACGGCGTGCACTAACACACACGGCGCGTGTACTAACACACACGGCGCGTGCTAAGAACACACGGCGCGCGTACTAACACACACGGCACGTGCTAACACACACACGGGGCGTACTAACACACACACGGCACGTACTAACACACACACGGCGCGTACTAACACACACACGGCACGTACTAACACACACACGGCGCGTGTACTAACACACACGGCACGTACTAACACACACACGGCGCGCGTACTAACACACACACGGCGCGCGTACTAACACACACACGGCGCGCGTACTAACACACACACGGCGCGCGTACTAACACACACACGGGGCGTACTAACACACACACGGCACGTACTAACACACACACGGCACGTACTAACACACACAGTGCGTACTAACACACACAGTGCGTACTAACACACACAGTGCGTACTAACACACACAGTGCGTACTAACACACACACGGCACGTACTAACACACACAGCGCGTACTAACACACACACGGCACGTACTAACACACACACGGCGCGCGTACTAACACACACACGGCGCGTACTAACACACACACACGGCACGTACTAACACACACACGGCGCCTACTAACACACACACGGGGCGTACTAACACACACACGGGGCGTACTAACACACACACGGCGCGTGCTAACACACACACGGGGCGTACTAACACACACACGGCACGTACTAACACACACACGGCACGTACAAACACACGCACGGGGCGTACTAACACACACACGGAGCGTACTAACACACACACGGCACGTACTAACACACACACGGCGCGCGTACTAACACACACAGACTCCGCGTGTGCCGTGCTTGGCTGTCAGCGGAGTTTTCGGTGCCATTGCGCGCCAGGGAGGGGTCCGGATTTTGCAAAAAAATTCTCAACAAGAAACCTCCCCCACCGGCACACATGTGAATCAGTTGGCATCACACACAGCAACACACACACAACAACACACACACAGTAACACACAGCATCACACACAGCAACACATACACAACATCACACACAACATCACACACAACATCACACACACAGCAACACACACACAACATCACACACACAGTAACACACACACACAACAGACACAACATCACACACAACATCACACACAGCAACACATACACAACATCACACACAACATCACACACAACATCACACACAGCAACAAACATAAAGCAACACACACACAGCAACACAGCAACACACACACAGTAACACACACACACAGTAACATACACACAGCAACACACACACAGCAACACACACACAAAGCAACACACAACAACACACACAGCAACACACACACAGCAACACACACACAGCAACACACACACAGCAACACACACACAGCAACACACAGCAGCAACACACACAGCAACACACACACACAACACACACAGCAACACACACAGCAACACACACACACAGCAACACACACACACAGCAACACACACACAGCAACACACAGCAACACACACACAGCAACACACACACAGCAACACACACAGCAACACACACACAGCAACACACACACAGCAACACACACACAGTAACACACACACAGCAACACACATACAGCAACACACACACACAGCAACACACACACAGCAAGACACACAGCAACACACACAGCAACACACACACAGCAACACACACACAGTAACACACACACACAGCAACACACACACAGCAACACACACAGCAACACACAGCAACACACACACAGCAACACACACACAGCAACACACAGCAACACACACACACACACAGCAACACACAGCAACACACACACAGCAACACACAGCAACACACACACAGCAACACACAGCAACACACACACACACAGCAACACACACACAGCAACACACATACAGCAACACACAGCAACACACACACAGCAACACACAGCAACACACACAGCAACACACACACAGCAATACACACACAGCAACACACACACAGCAACACACATACAGCAACACACAGCAACACACACACAGCAACACACAGCAGCAACACACACAGCAACACACACACAGCAACACACACACAGCAACACACAGCAGCAACACACACAGCAACACACACACAGCAACACACACACAGCAACACACACACAGCAACACACACACACAGCAACACACACACAGCAACACACAGCAACACACACACAGCAACACACAGCAACACACACACACAGCAACACACAACAACACACACAACAACACACACACAGCAACACACACAGCAACACACAGCAACACACACAGCAACACACAGCAACACACACACAGCAACACACACACAGCAACACACACACAGCAACACACACACAGCAACACACACAGCAAGACTCAGCAGCAGCAATGATCGATGCCCGCTTTTCTCAGGCCACGTGCCACCAGTGACCGCTGCGTCGCGCAGTGATGGCTGCCGCTGGGGGTGCCCTTTCGAGACGCGTTGGCGATGTACAGCTTTGGGCTGGACCCTTATCCACAACTCACGATCATCTTCATCATCGCCGTCATCGTCATTGATAATCACTGCGATCTGCTCAGATTTCCCACGCTGCGCTCCGCTATCGTGTGTTTGTTTTCGTTTGTTGTAGCTTTCTGACTCGCCGCCGGTGAAAAAAAGAGCTTTATAGCTCATCGGATTCTGATTGTGCCAGCACTCGACCACACACAGTCCCACGCGGGGTTCGATCCCGACCCTGACGCCTGCTGTATATGTGGAGTTTGCGTGTCTCTCATCATCATCACGGTGGCTAGGAGATGTTAACTACCTCGCCTGGTATACAGGAGGTCGTGGGTTCGATCCTGACCCTGACGCCTGCTGCTGTATATTTGGAGTTTGCGTCTCTCTATTATCATCATCACGGTGGCTAGGAGCTGTTAACTACCTCGCCTGGTATACAGAAGGTCGTGGGTTCGATCTTGACCCTGACGCCTGCTGATGTATATTTGGAGTCTGTGTCTCTCTCTCTCTCTCATCATCATCACGGTGGCTAGGAGATGTTAACTACCTCGGCTGGTGTACAGGAGGTCGTGGGTTCGATCCCGACCCTGACGCCTGCTGCTGCTGTATATTTGGAGTTTGCGTGTCTATCTCCCTGTGGTGGTCGCGTGGATTTTTCTCCGGGTCCTCGGTTCCCCCCCCCCCTCCACATTTAGAATCAGCATCACGCGTTTCGAGCTGATGGGCTGCTGCTATAAATGTACACACGATGATGTTGATGTGCCACTTGGTTGAGCTGCTACCATTTGTGATGGGCAGGTCGCTCCTGAAAACGAGCTATATATACAACTCAGTTGGGGCCTTACATGGTCAAAAAAACATTGTTTAGTTTAGGGTTTAAATACGTAGGCCTTCGCGAACAATATCATCCATAATATGGGTTGTTTGGGTTAGATCGTGTAAATATAACTGCGTCGTTAAACTCGCCACCACACAGCGAACTAGTAAGGGTTGTCACGTAAACAGAACGTGGCCAGTTCGTCACTAGTACAGCACTAGTGTATAATGTAGTGTATCGTGTAGTGTGTAGTTGTGTAGTGTATCGTGTAGTGTATAGTGTAGTGTATAGTGTAGTGTAGTGTATAGTGTAGTGTATAGTGCAGTGTGGTGTATAGTGTAGTGTATAGTGTAGTGTATAGTGTAGTGTATAGTGTGTAGTGTATAGTGTAGTGTATAGTAGTGTAGTGTATAGTGTAGTGTATAGTGTAGTATACTAGTACAGCACTAACCGGTGTGTTGGAGAGCCAAGCCACAACATTTACAGTCTGAGTACGACGTTTCGCAAGCAATTACAACTAGCTTCATCAGGCAACAGCGAGATGGTTCGTAGCGCAGCGCGCTAACCACTACACAGCCGCTCCCCACAACAGCAAGCCCCTCCTCCTCCTACACAAGCCTGTGGTGCAATTTGCGAGCGGCTGTGATAGTCCGGCAAAGAGCATAGAGACTCGTAGACTCACACAGAGACCCGTAGACTCACACAGAGACCCGTAGACTCACACAGAGACCCGTAGACTTGCATAGAGACCCGTAGACTCACACAGAGACCCGTAGACTCACACAGAGACCCGTATACTTGCATAGAGACCCGTAGACTCACACAGAGACCCGTAGACTCGCATAGAGACCCGTAGACTCACACAGAGACCCGTATACTTGCATAGAGACCCGTAGACTCACACAGAGACCCGTAGACTTGCATAGAGACCCGTAGACTCACACAGAGACCCATAGACTCGCATAGAGACCCGTAGACTTGCATAGTGACCCGTAGACTTGCATAGAGACCCGTAGACTTGCATAGAGACCCATGGACTCACACAGAGACCCGTATACTTGCTAAGAGACCCGGAGACTTGCTAAGAGACCTGTAGACTCACACAGAGACCCGGAGACTTGCATAGAGACCCGTAGACTCACACAGAGACCCGTAGACTCGCATAGAGACCCGTAGACTCGCATAGAGACCCGTAGACTGACACAGAGACCCGTAGACTTGCATAGAGACCCGTAGACTCGCATAGAGACCCGTAGACTCGCATAGAGACCCGTAGACTCACATAGAGACCCGTAGACTCGTATAG